CTCTCCAATTTTCCATCTGCAAGGGGACCAATGGTCCAATACTTGAGTGTCCTGGTGACTCGGCCATAGCTTGCCGGTTTTCATTTCCCATGAGAAGGTGTAGAGTACGGGTTTTGGTCGTAAAGGCAACTCGAGTTATATATATATTTTTTCTCTTTTTTTTAACATACAAATTGCTGTAGATACGTACTTCAAAGTTGGCATTTTCAGTCTTCGCTGGACACAATGCCTTATTCATAGGTCACAACACTCATATAATATTACGCGAGTCTGTGGGTCGGTTCAGAGTAGCTCGGTGGCGTAGTGAATTAGCGCCATGGCCCGCGATTTTAGTTGTTAAGCAACTTTCGCAAAGGTCGGGCACAGGATGGATGACCAAAAAATATTATCTCAAGCAACTTCAAGCTTCGGAAAGCACGTAAAGCGATTGGTCCCGGTTGTATTTGCTGTCGTTAATATCCTCCAATCCACATTGGGCCAGCATGGAGAGTCGCGCCCATCCTCTTTAACCATCTATAAGGAAGGCCTTAGCTCCTGCAGTTGGTGACGTAAAAGGGCTGATGATGATGATGATGAGGGCCGTTCAAATCTGACAGAAGCTCAGTTAAGCACCTCACGGAAGTATGTTAGTAGACGATTTCCTTCGAGTGTGGAAAGTCGAAATTAAAATATGTATATATTTTTTTTATATCAATAAATAAAACTCCACGTATCTTCCGTCAGACATGTACTGGCCGACTTTTATAGATAAAGAAAGAGATCAGACAGAAGGCGCTCGCTCTCGGGAGACACCTGATAAACGCGAAGCGTATTTAACTGCCCATTGTGAGGCAAATTCGATGCAAACAAACAAACAACCAAATCTATCCTCTTTATAATATTAGTATAGCTTAGGCATAAGGGGTCCGATGGCGTAGTGGGTTAGCGCATTCGGTTTAAATTGCAATTAAATAAGTAAGTAAATACTGCACAACAAGGACATACATGAATACGTATTTTACATAAATAAGTACAAACGACAAACTCATCGCTAGCCGGCGATTTCTTCCAGGCAAACTAGCATTACATGAAAAATAGAACAATAAATAACCGATTGTGCATACAACTAGACAAATAATAATAATTTAAAAAGATCGACACAAAAGAAGGACCGTTTAAAGGTACGAATAAAATGCTCAGACACAAGCAACAACCAGAGCGCGAGAAACGAGAAAAAAATTGAAAAATAACATTCGTAAGGACCGTTTACAGGATGGATGACCAAACATTATTATCTTGAGCACTGTGCATAATGCACGTTAAGGCGTTAGTCCTGGCTGCATCAGCAACGTTAACACCCACCGATACGCATTAAGCCCGCGTAGTGGGTTATGGCCTATTGATCTTATTCGATTCGTCTGCATTCATAGGAAAAAAAGAATTCTACCAAAATACTTCCTACGCAGACGAAGTCGCGGGCACAGCTAGTATAATAATAATAATAGTTCTAATCGAAAATCTCGTAAGACAAATTTTACGAGCTTTTGGATTAGAACTATTATGGCTATTTTTCTTTCATGTAGATGCTTTAAATAAGTGAGGTAACTAGCGATGGGCGTTGAATCAACGGACTAGTTAAATCAACCGTTAACGTAGAATCAACGCGTCGACGGTTGACAGTTCTTTGGTTAACTAGTTGAAAAATCGACGCCTTAACGAAGAACCCACCGTTCATCTAACAACATGTTATGAAACTGCAACGCATCATTTTCCATTCATAAAGATTCGATGTAACTTTGATCGCTGAAATAATTTAAACTCTAAAGTCAATGGCAGTAAGTAAATATTACAATACGCGTGTCTAATACATAGGCCTTGTATATATGAATGTCAGATGTGATTGTTGTTTACATTTGTTTCTAATAGATGGTGTTATACAGTTCTTGTATTTATATAGACGGCGGTGTTAAGAATTTTACTAGTTGGTATAGGTCAACTATTGTTGGAATATAATACTTTCTTTTTTAGTTTTGCATACACTCGTCTAATTTAATTACGTGTTTTATTAGGGTTTCCTTGGGATTTTTTTTTGTCTGAATAATCTTTCTAACCTTTCTTTCTCTGAAAGCACGTTTATTTTATAGATGTTTTTTTTATTTTAGAGAATTTAATTCACTCTGGGCAACTGTTATATGAATAATTTTGAATATTAAGATTCATAATTTTATTTTGAACCAAAACAAACAAAATCTAAAGTTCAGTATATCTATAATATTATGTTAAAATAGTAAAACATATCACTATAAACGAAAAATAATATTTATTGACAAAATCTAATAAAATATTTATTAAAGATTTCTAATTAAATTAATAAAAAATATGAAACCGTAAATTTCTTCTATTATACCTACACCTAGGTAACTACGATCTTACACAAAATAAATATTATAATAATTATCCATTAACGTGAAGTAGTTCGGCCAACTACGAAAGTCTATATTATAATAATGTACTCTGTGGTCTATATAGTCCATCCAATAAGGTTAATATTTGTACGTTGGTTGTAGTTCCTAAATAAACGCACACTCCCATCCGTCGACGTCCATCCTGTCGACGTAGCTGCATACGTTAACTATAGTTGATAATTCAACTAGTCGAATTTTCAATGATCAGATGAAGAGCGTTACGTTCGTTGATCAACGTACACCTAGACTACAAAGCTTTGTTTTGTCGTATAATACAACCAGTTAAAAAGTCGACGGCTAAAAGAAGAACGCACCGTTCTTCTATAAACATGTTACGAAACTGCAACGCATAACTTTATCTGTATAATACAATGGAATTCGGTTGTTTCCATTATTAAAATTTCATGTAACTTTGGCAGCTGAAATAATTTAAACTCTAAAGTCAAAGTAATTAAGTAAATATTTGAACACGCGTATCTAATACATAGGCCTTGTTTAAATACATGTTAGACTTTGTTTGTTTACGTTAGTCCCCGATAGATGGTGTTATACGATTTTTGACATGGCGGTGTTAAGAATTTTACTACTTAGTATAAGTTAACTTTTTCTTATATGAAAATTTTCTCTTCTTTTGCATCCGAATTTTACTGTGATTCATTAATTTATTTATTATTTTAATTTAAATTAATTATCCTATTACATAAGAAAACATTTTTTTTTAACTGTATGTTTAAAAAACGGCTAAGTGCGAGTTAGACTCTCACACGAAGAGATCCGTACATACCATTATAAAACTGCAAAAAAAATAAATCTGTTTTATTTGTACGGGAGCCAACTTGAGTATTTATTTTATTTTAATTTAACTGTTTATTTTTAAAGTGAATACCTATATAGACAAATCCTCGGTAAGTACTTCAAGGGTCTGTTTACCCGCTGCAAGTATCGATATCGAGCAAAAACATTATTTAATTAAATAAAGGCAAATATTTAATTCTGTTTTTAGTATTTGTTCATTTTTGGCAACAGAAATGCATATTATTTGAAAATTTTAACTATCTATCTATCAAGGTTCATAAGATACAGCCTAGTGATTAATTATTATTAATCACTAGGCTGTATCTCCTACTTTTCAATATTGATATACGGTTCAATTAAACCATTAATTTTCGTCCAAAGTTCATACCCCTTGACGTAGTTCCATATGTCAACTATAGTTAAAATTAACTAGTTGATCGACTAGTCGATCAAGGTCCATGAACGGCTTCGTTTCGTCGACCGAAAATCTCTCAACGACCCATCTCTAGAGGTAACGTAGCAAGTCATACCATGTTTATTTTTGATTCGGTAATTTTTAAGATTTTGTAGGGTAAAAATGGAACTCTATTTCATAGACTCCGCTGTCTACCTGTCACCATTATGAACCGTGAAAGTTAATCGAAACAGGTTGAAATTTTAAATAGGCACACAAACAAGAATTTTTGTTTGTCGCTTAATAGACAATAGTACGGAATCTTTCGTGCGCGAGTCAGGCTGCCACTTGACCGGTTTTTTTGTATTCATGAGCTCTACGTGCCCTACAAAATTTAACGTTCTATCATGTTGGTTGGCGCATTGTCGTGCTACACTTTGTCTTGCGCTGCAGTGGTATTCCGTTATAAAACAACCATGAATTCGAAGTCGAGCCATTCGAGCGCAGCCCAGTGCAAAGCATAGAGGTTCAAATTAAACTTACTTCAAAAGTTAATAAATGTCATAATTAATTGAAGCTCGTAGCGCTGTGTTCGACGTAAAGTTAGAGTGTGATTGTAACAGAATAACAAAATGAGATCTTTTTCGGTGCTATAATTAAAACTATATAATAAGCTATCACTCTGTTACCATATGCCAATAATTATAAACATTTTCCCGCTATTTAATGACGCCATGTTGTAAAAAATCGATAATTTAAAATTCAGTGGACCAAATCGAGACTCTATCGTTGGAGTTTATTGAACTTGAGCACTTGCTTAATTACAATGTGATTATTGTTTATAGTTTACACCAAACTCTCTTTTTTGATTTGTCCAAGTAAAACAGACACTCAAAATATCACGAGTAATATTAATCGGAAATAACAAATATATCCAAAATGTATCGGGGGCTATGTACTGGCAACCTAAATGTTATTAAAAAAGTGATTTCATTGTTAAAATTAATATGTTTATTTTCTCAAGACTTATTTTAAGTCTTTGGACACATATTCTAAGATAATGATGAAGTAATACTTATTATATTGAGCACTTCCTTGTTGCAAATTTAATTACGGGAATATAAGTATATATAAGTTTTACTCTATTTTATGTATTTTATATGCCATATGGAACATCGTAGCCTAGTGGTTAATACACAACACCAAGTTTAATTACTCTATTAGAAATTAGAACGATGATAATATTTATGTATACAAATATTTAGAACTTAAATTTTATAGATATCCCTATAAAATATGGAACATTTTGTTGTACATGTTATACAATAAAAGTTAGAAGTAGTTTTAGTACGGAAACAGGCACTCACCTTCTCTTAGTCGACTGTGTGTGAGATGAGTCACAACAAGGTAAAAAAGTAAACTTCATGTTTTAAATGCACAAAGCACAATTCTTATGGATTACGTGAAACAATAAAACTATAGTGTTCTTTTCACGATCGGTATCAACAATGAGACTAATAAACTTGAAATTGCTTTATCACGGTGTAACAGAGATAATATTTTATCTCTTTCCAGACGTTTGTTTTGTACTAATGACAGTGATTGCTTTAATTCGTATGAAAGACTATCTAGGGGAAACTTTATCAGTCTCTTGATCAGATCAAGCATTTCTATTATGGACTTTCTCTTTTACACTTATAATGATTGTTTACCTTTTTTAATAAGTGATTAAATTTTTTAAGTTTTATTAAAAAATTAGGAGCACGATGGCGTAACGGTTAGCGTAATCTGCGATTCGGAAGTTAAGCTACTTTTGCAAAGGCCGGCGATAAGATGGGTGACCAATAATTTATTATCTCGAGCTCAGTGCTTCAGATGGCACGTCAAACCGGCGGTTCCGGCTGCGTATGCAGATGATAGCATCCACCGCTAATTTGCTATTGGAAAAATTAATTCTACACAGACGAAGTATTGGTTGGAAAATATTTTTTTTTGTGACTTGATAATAATGATGATTTGGAATAATTGTAAAACCCTATAATATTTTCATCAAAACAATATGATAATTCTATTGTAATATAAGCATGACTAAGCATAAAATGCACTGCGTTATTTAAAGACAAAACCACACTGAGAAGTCTGATTCAAACTTTAAATATAAAATTATTTGATAACGCCCAATAAGTGCGATAAGTGATGATTTAACTATAGATATGTAATATAATCTATATTCAAAGTCATATTCAAATTAAAATTATCTTTATCCAAATTTGTAGTATTAATAGGGCTCTATAAAATGAAGGTCATTGATGTCAATTTAAAAATAAAAAAGGACCAAGAATTGGGCCCCATGGAACACTTGCTATAAGATGATAACCTTCTGTATTCAGTCGATCAAAATATTAGAGAAGAAAGTTAAATTCAATGTTACTAAGTCATTAAATCATAACAAAAGTATTGTTACATGGTAAATTTTATGAAAAACAAAATAACAAGCCTTAGATGAAACACGAAAATGAAAATAGAATATTTACATTAAAATATTTATATTATTACAAATTAATATTTACTAACATGAATCTTTATAGGCATACTAATTAAAAATTTTGAAAGTCTTTATCGATATTTATGATAAATAAGAAATTTTGTTTTTAATTTTTGTCTGGGTTAACCTTATGTAAGATCTAGTGCACCGATTCATTTAAAATTACCCTGAAGGTAATTAAACTCTACCAAATATAAAACCCCCTCAAACGTGTCGGCAGTACAGCAGTAAAGTAATAATAAAAATTTCATTTTGTTTACCTTCTTTTCTGGGCATAGATATAACTATCGGGTTGGCACAAAAGTAATGAGACACTTGGTTTAAGTTTTTACTTTTTTATTATTATTACAATAAAAAAAGTTTAGTCAATGATGTAATTACCATTAGTATCTAAGACTTCTTGCCAACGATCCGGCAAAGTTTGGATACCTTTTGTCCAGAACTCTGATGGCTGTGCCTCGAAAAAGTTGTTCAACTCCGCCTCTACGTCAGAGAAATCATTAAATTGTTTACCCCGCAAATGCTGTTTCAGGGCTCTAAACAAATGATAGTCTGATGGGGCGAGGTCTGGGGAATAAGGTGGGTGAGGTATCGTCTCCCAGCCCAAGTTCTCCAACTGCCGGCGAACCACAGATGCGACGTGAGGTCGAGCGTTATCGTGCAGTAAAACTACATTGACTCGTCTTCGTCGTTTTTTCTTGATAGCGGCAGATAATTTGGTAAGCTGGGTTGAATATTTGTCAGCGTTTATAGTTTCATTGTGTAATAGCTCATAAAACAGTATGCCTTGCGCATCCCAGAAACAGCAAAGCAGAATTTTTCGGCGATTCTATTGACTCGGCTTCGGTTGAGTTGGTGGCGTTTCTTCTCGAGGTAGCCAAAAAGCACGACGTGTATCGTTCTCGTAATAAATCCATGATTTATCTCCAGTAACCAGATCTGACAAAAACTCTTTACGTCGGGGGTCGCAGCAAAAGTGACTGACAGATAGCGACACGGACTGCACGACTGGCGTCTGTAAGGATGTGCGGTACCCACCGAGCCAAAACTTTTCAAGAACCAAGCTCATGCAGATGGTGTTCCACGGCGTGGTGACTACATTTAAGTGCTTCCGCTAATTCACGAGTGGTAGCATCCGGATTCAACTGCAGTTCGCGGCGCAAATCGTCATCATTCACTGCGGGTGGTCGCCCTGAGCGTGGCTGACTTTCAAGGGTCCTGTCTCCTGATTTAAATAGGTCAAACCATCGGGACACCGTCGCATGGCTTGTACTTCCAGCGCCTAATGCATTGTTGATATTGTCAGCCGCAGCCCGCGCACTGTGGCCTAACAAGTACTCGTATAAGTATAGTATTCGAACTTGTCGCTCGTCCATTTTTCTTCAAACTGACTAAACACATCGCGAGCGCGGCTTTATATACCCTACACCAGAAGTACCTAGAATGTTCTACAACATTCTAGAATATTATCGAAAAAATTGATTTTAAAAAGGAAATGTTATAGATTTTTCTAGTGTGTCTCATTACTTTTGTGCCAACCCAATAAATTCTATTCTAATTATATACACTTACATTGTTCATGTTCATCCATGTTGGCTTGGGAGTTAAAGATAATTAAGAAAATGCTGGCCTTATCTCAACCCCGAGATATCGTAAAAAATGGAAAATTGCTTTACTCTTTCAGACTACCTAAATTTCAAAGTTTGCACAAAACTATAATATATATTTTTTAAATTTATCTTGAAAATAAAATGTTCTGCACTGCTGCTTCTATGACCCTATTATTTCTTATGTTATAATGAATGGAGTATAGTTGCTCCATCGACCGGATTGCTCGGGTTGCATGGGTTTATCGGATAAAATACCTTGTCTTAATAATAAAAAAATATTTTCGGTTATTTGTTTTTATTTTGTGAAAAATTATTAGTACCCAACTATTATTATTATTCGCAGTTTATCTTAACACTTTTTTGATGCGTCTACATTAAAAAAGTGTTAAGATAACTTAACACTTTTTTAATGTGTCTGAAATTATTAAGCTTTTAAAAATGTATCATTAATTAATTAGATCATAAAAATCTTAGAAATTATAAGCTAACGATGCTTTCAATAGGTATGACGACTAATTTTTGTTTGTTTTTTCGTCAGGTAGATTGTGGAAAAATATAAAACGCGAATTTTTTCAAATGTTTAAATTAGTTAATATGTCGCATGACGTCACGCTTTTGTACATTTTGCACTCCTCAACTTTAATACCTGTTTGTTACCTAAGCTATTTAAAAAACTAGTATAAAAAAACGTATCTAATATTTTTCTGTTATTTTACTGACGGACTAAATAGATTATTTTTACCCATTCGACATCCATATTCGTTTTGTTTTAAAGGACAGTTAAAGTGTAGGTATGTTTAAATATAATAGGCGCGCTATATATAATTTACGGTCTAGAGAATCTCACAGAGAAATATTTAAAGAAATAAATATTTTGACTGTTGCCTCTCAAGACATCTATGTACACAAGAAAACATTACGATTCCTTCCCAAAAAAAAGTAGTGTTCATAATCTTAACTCAACAAATAAAAATAAACTTGCCGTTCCAAGCTTCAGACCTAAGAAAACCAGAGGATCATTTCTGGGTAAATGCATTGCTATGTTCAATAAATTTCCATAAAATTTAATTGGCCTACCCATAAATATACTTATGAGTAAAGGCTATTATAAAGTTGATGATTATTTTAAGGATCGCAATGCATGGAATTAATTGCCTTCTCTTTGTTCTATGACGACTAATTATATGTTCAACCTATGACCTACAGACTTTGAAAGTCGTATTTATTATTGTAATAATACATACTATTTTGGTAATGACATGATTTATGTAAATGTCATTACTTATGATAAAGAGCTGGTAAGTTTATTTCGCTTGTTCTTTGTTGTGTCAGCTAAAAGACGTCCTGAAGTTTTTTTTGGACGATTCAAAAGTGCTTGTAATAAGCCTACATGAATACAGATATTTTCATTTCATTTCATTTTGGGCAATAAAGAAGTTGATGATTAATAAGTCATAATTAATAAGAGACTTCCATATCCATTGTTTCAGTTTACCCTTAAATTAACTGAGGCCGAACTCAAAAGGCTACGTTAACTGAATTGTAAAATTTAATATTAAATCTTTTTAAGCTGACTAATGACTCTTATTATCTAAGATTCCACAATGAAAACAGCTATGTTATTCTGTTAAAGACTGCTTCTGGGTTGACGTCGAGCCGAGTGCGCTGTGACAGCATAGTATAGAGCTTCATTGAAATAAAACTTTGATTACCTTTTGAAGAAATAAAACCTTTTTTGATTGAACCTTTATTCTAATGATTGTGGTGTACTCGACGTTGACTCGAGGCTCTTTTTATTATGGAATAGCACTGCAGTTAAACGTGTAGATAAATTACATAGACATATCGATCATTAAAAAACACGAGTCCCTCACATTGACTTTCAAATACTATGGTATCAGAAGAATATATATAGAATTAGGTACACCTTGATCTTTAATATGACTGTCTAAAATGTGCTATTTGCAGAAGTTCACTAAATATAAGTTATCAAGTTGCTAATTATGGTAAGGACTTAAAAGCTTGCTTTGCTTTGTTCTATGCTAAACAACCCTGACTTTTTTCTTGTTTGTTTGTGCATTATTATTATATAATAATGATTAGGGTACGACATGACATATAGTTTATATAAATATTATTTTCTCAATTCTTAGCTTATAAAGCAATGACACTTGTTATAATACGTATAACATCAGGTTACTACAAAGTCTCTGTAATCAATTCTGAACTTAACTATCATCATTACAAGGCTTAAAATCCATTGGAGTGAGCTACTGTATCACAGTACTATCTTTAGAACGATAGACCTTAGTTTTTATATTAGACAGTTGCGACAAATA